AGTTACCGCAGGAGAGACTGCGTCCAGAACTGTCGCTCGATTTGGAGAACAGGTGTGGACACGGACCATGCACTTGTATGTGCTGATATGCGGGTGCGTTTTGGCGGACGCCCAGGACGACGCTGTGAGCGCGTTGACATCAGCCAAATGACAAAGCCACCTGTTCTGAATGCCTAGCAAAGTACGCTGACATGCGAGTTGAGTAAGCGCTCATTGTAGACAAGTGAAGGTCACTAGCCGCATGTTTAGCAGACCTTAGTAGCAGCAGGCAAATCCTCATGTATTAAGTCTGATAGACTACATGGACATTGGGTCTCTTCGCAGTCTCTACAACTTATCCATGCTCGCCGGCATATTCCGGCTGGAAGCGAACACAATGAAACTCGCAAAGATCTCCGGGAAAAACTCTGCGCTAGCCTGAAGAGAGACCGAGAATCCTGGTGGTCTCTTCGTGCGTCAGAGATGGAAGCCACTGCTGCCTTTGGTAACCATTGAGTTATTCCGTCTGATACGGGAAACGGGCAGCAGGAGACCTGGCGTTAGTAAAACTATTTGCGACGAGAGTGGACAGTCTATCTACAACTTGTCAAAATGTTTAGAGCGTTGGGTTGAGCATTTTGAAAAGCAATATAGTCGACCGGAATTGTTCGATTCCTCACCGGCCAGTGATCACCCTGCTCCCTTGGCTGTCCCTTGGCATCCGCCCTCTCACTCAGAAGTCCAACGTCAGATCGGACTGTTGAAGCTGAACAAAGCCGCGAATTCAGATGATCTACATCCAGCCCTCTTCGAATTGGAAGGCTCTGCTCTTATTGATGATTTATGTGAATTACTAGTGATACATTGGGAGCAGGAAACTGTCCCAACCGATTGGAGCTGCTCAGTTATTGTTCCCATCTTCAAAGAAGGCTCGCGTTCGGAATGCGGCAACCATAGAGGAATCAGTCTGGTCCCCATTGCCTCCCAATTACTTCCGTCGGTGGTCCGTCACAGACTGACTGGAGCTCCTGAAAGCCAGATTCGTGAAGAGCAAGCCGGGTTTCGTGGCTTCGTCGATTACATCTTCACCTGGCGTCAGTTGTTGGAGCACCGTCACACATATTGGCGGCCCACCTCGACATCCAAAGTGCCTTCGATTCGGTTGATCGATGTGCCCTTTGGGACTGTCTACTCAGGAAAGGTGTGCCGAGAAGTATGTAAATATTATCCGAGCATTATACGCGCGTAGCTCAGGGAGTAGTGAGGGCTTACGGCAAACTGTCGCCGCCCTTCAATATCTTCAGCGGTGTGAGACAAGCACGCCCGCTGTCACCTTTCCTCTTCAACTTCGCTATTGACGAAGTCATGGAGATTGCATTTTGAGCACACCACTTAGGTGTGGAGCTGCTCCCAAGAGAACGACTTCTTGATTTGGAGTATGCAGACGATATTGCCGTAATCTGTGACAGCTCACAAACGTGCCCAGCTGCACCGGACAGATTAGCACTGGCTGTCCATCACTTCGGGCTCTGATTCGCAACATCGAAGTGCAAAGCGTTCCTCCAAGATTGCCCTGGACCGCCTTCTGCGCTGACCCTTGGTGGGGATCAGCTAGAAGTCGTTCAGAAATTCAACTACCTGGGAAGTTGTATCAGCGCCCTTAGGATTGAAGATGAGATCACGATCCGTGTATAAAAAGCTCGAAGTGCTTTCGCTAGTCTTCGCCACCTATGGCGGCGGCGGGACATTACACTCGCCCTGGAGGGTAGAGTGTACAATGCAGCGGTACGTTCGAGCTTACTGTACGGTTGCGAAACCTGGCTCCTTAGATCAGCAGACATAAAGAGGCTGGTTACGTTCGACCATCACTGCCTTCGCAGTTTGGTTCACATCTGGTGGGAACACCGCGTGAGCAACGAGTGTATTCGACGACTTGTTTACGGCGCAGGAAAAGGAAATGAACCGCTCAGCATGATCATTTCACGCACCAGGCTCCGATGACTCGGCCGCGTGTTAGGCATGCCAGCCCACTGACTCCCGCGCCTTGCGTTGTTTGCTCACCGGGGGTATGGATAGAAGGAGTGACCAAGCAATGGCTTGGTCGAGAGGAATGAAGGCCCTCATTTCGAAACTGGCCTCGGTTGGAGCTTCACGGCTCTCTGGTTGGGGACCAAAAGACGATGAACACGTTTGGCTAGATACATTTGCTGACAAGGAGCCGACCTCAATGGCGTTCCTGCTGTGAGTTTTTTTGTCCCTGCCCATCCATTTTAGCCTCCCCTCCAACCACGATCTCATTTCGTAGCATAATATAGGTATACATCATAATTTTTCTTGCTACCTAGTAGTCAGCTGGTAGCTTTCCGGAACGATACCCATCCGTTGCTGGTAGGTTAGCTGGCATGCAAATGTTGTATTCGATTTCCCTTTTACGTACTGCGGCACAGTAGCTGAGGTGTTTTACACCTCTAGCTAACGTGTATAATGATGAGTATGACTTAGCCCAACTACGGCGAAGCATCATGAATGCAACACAGTCATTTACTTATGTATATCCACCCATACACATACATTCACTGTTATATAAAACATAAATTTTTGACACCTTGTTACCTTAACATGATCATGCCTGTAGAGATGTGCCTCGAGAATAAAAGTTTATTTATTTATTTACACTATCATTATCATTCAACTTGGATTATTCCGCTATAGACGCATGCCACTTGGGATAAGCTCGGCCCGGCTATCTTTCAGCGTATTATTGACACACTGGTGTAGAACATGCCAAGCACATGTGGATACTTAGATGTCATCCTGATTTCTGGACGTACTATCATTGAACACTTGCATACTTTGAAAGTCGTCTGAAATGATTATCAGACGCTGGGTTGGTTTAAAAAAGGAAAAGTGTGAATTTCTTGTGCCGAGTGTACCTACAGTACCTTCGGTAACGGCTATCATGAGAAGGATTGTGCCTATTAAAAGAAAAGACAAGAGCGCTACTTGAAGCGCCAGCATCCAAAAATGTTCATAAACTGCGGTCATTCTTGGGTGCCGTTATCCAGTTTTCAAGGTTCATACCATCGGCAGCAACACATCTACATCCGCTTCACCAACTCTTATTTAAAAACCAAACTTGGTAGTGGAACAGGATTCATGAAAATGCTTTCACGGCGGTTAAAACGGTTTGGGCATCAACTGATGTTCTTGTGCACTACGACCGGCAAAAGCCTGTTATTCTCTCTTGTGATGCTTCACCATAAGGTCTTGGAGCTGAGTTACTGTACGAATTACAGAAGGGCTACCAGCGACCTATTGCCTATGCCACAAGAAGACTGACAGCAGCAGAACGAAATTATTCGCAGTTTGATCGAGAGGCAGCAGCTGTGTGTACTACGTGAGTTACTTGGTCGACCCTTCGTGATCTATACAGATCATAAACATCTTGTTTCCCTCCTTGGCCAACAGAAGGGGATCCAACAAATGGCTTCACCCAACGTGCCTTTAGAACAAATCTTGCGGTTAGACAGATATTTACCTTCGGTCCCTTGTTCTTGATACAAATAGAGATTTTTCGGTTGAATTATTTATCATGGCGCGCAAATACACACAGTTACAAAATATGGGTAGCAAGTACACACTTCGGTTTCAGTTCATTTGCTAGCCTTTCCAGTGGGATATCCGAATCTGACTGAGTACCCTTAAAGAGTGCAACAAGTAACCCCGCTGTCTCTAGAGTAGTGTGTGTGGCCTGCGTGCACGGACTCGAGGACCTGAACAAAAGTACCGTGTCCAACTTCAAACAGTAAAAATTCGGCCATAATTGTCCGGCACATAGCTCTCAGCCCAAGTTCATCACCGCACGGATAAACTAACAGGTGCGCACCACATTTATTGAGCTTCACTTATATGGTTGCGTATTTCACTCTACTAGTGCCACTGTTAAACACAGACCCGTTATGTGGGTGACATTTATATTCCCGAAGATAAAGCGCGACACATCCGTTACACATATTAAATGTAGAACCGACCAGATCAACTTGACAATCACCATAAGGGTAAGCTCAAACCGCTAAAGCCACAATGAGTTATTTGACATTATCCAAGAGCGGAGCTGTTGGGGATTTTATCAGGTCACACTTTGTGACGTGTTGTTTAGATTGGGAATTGTAGCCACGTACCATACATCGTCAGAAATGATGGTGCGTGTGGTTCCTGGTCTTGATCGACTTACAAGATAGCAATCTACTGTCTTTCTCGGTAAAAATGACTAGATCCAGTTAACGGTGGCATATAAAGGAACGCATGCTATCTCGATGTCAAACGAACGAGAAGTTGTGCTAGCCAAAAGTGAAGGCGATCCATAACCAAAGCAAGTGCCGCCGCCGTAAGTCGAGAATGACAAAGGGTTCAGCGGAGAGAATGATAGTGATTACACCCAGTAGTAATAATTTTAAGCAACCAAAAAGAGGGCTTTCACTATTGTCACATAGATGGGTGAAGGACGGCGCTTTGAAATAACAGTGGACAAAGTAAAGTGAGACAAGACAAGAACACTGTGGAGTTAAAATCTGCTGGTTTGAGTGGAAAGTCGAAGGCTAAACAGAGTATCTCTCCCTTGTGCTGAACTTCTCCATCACTCTAATGCTTGTCTACGATGGTGTCCAGGAGACCAAAAACACCACGACTGAAAAATGAATATGCGGAGCGGAACGTGGCAATTAGTGTGAAACAGCATCTGTGTTTACTTCAGCGCATGGTGCAGAGCTCTAAAAACAAAAATCAAACCGGTTAACAATCGCACATCAGTGTGCCATCACTAAAATAACACCGAATTACGCAGTCACAAAGTCCACATACCATGAAGTTACTCTTTACAATTGTACTAACCGAAAAAAGACAAAATCCAGAAAAAATGAAAGCAGCCGGATGGACGATAAAAATAAAAACTAGTATCTGAGAGTAAACGATGACATAACGAGATAATAGAAAGGCAGTCCATCGTGGAACGTCTGTTGGAATTAACTCTTTCTTGTACTCCGGTCGGTAACCTGTCGCCGACCACATGTGAGGCGCGGTGAAGTAGACTGGAACACGGAAGAATTCAACATCATGTTTTCTATGTACTGCCCCAAAATTTGATTTTCCGTTCGCAGCTTCAAATTCTCCTCCTTCACAACGTCAACACGCGCGGACAGATCCTCCAGCGTATGTTGAAGTTCGATTATCTGTGGAGGAAATGCGAAAGCAAGAGTGGGAACTGGAAGTGACCGGGGAGAGAACTGCAGCTTACTCATCAACAATGTAATGTTAGAAAATTACGGTATTACATATGAAATCCAGATCCACTAAAACAACTGGTGAGACAGGTACAACGGTGAAGAATTTATGAGACTCATTTCGATTGGAGGAACTTCGCCTTGGTCCGAAGCTGTAAAATGAAGGCGGAACAGAAACCATGAATCGTCTCGTGCTGTACATAAGGCTCGAATATTCGAAAGCAAACGGTTTGAGCACGGGCCAGTAGCGCTGATGATCAGGATAGCATACTATTCCAAACCATTTCACTTTCGCGTTCGAATGGCTAGTAAGTATTACAGATACACACGTTTCTTATCATTAAACCCAATCTAAATCGATGTCTGGAATCGATTTCGTTGTCACATATGTCAACAGAATGCAGACAGATTTGCTATAAAAGCTATCGATGTAATCGATTTCCGCAGGCACTTTCACATTAAGCATACCAGAGAACACCGGAGGTGTAGCACCCGATAATATAATACTTAAGTACAACTTAATTGCTGACCAGTTGAACAGTATTAGTTCTTGTCATAAGGCTACTCTTACACGACGGTCATGGTTGTCCACATCCAGCCCACCACTTTTCCGGTTGGTGAGTTACGACAGTGGCGTTCACTCTCATTTGTTTGCAGCCCATCACGAATACAGTTAGCTGAGTCCGAGCCTTCTGCCTCCTGGTTAGCGCGCATCGTCTAGAACTAGTACGTACTAGTTCTATAGTCTACAATAGATAGTAATTAGTCACACGCGAGGTTTCCATCAGGCCCTGCAGGGAACTCCTAGTCCCATTTTATTGGTTGACTTAAATGTTCGGACCATCATGCAGCTCCCTTTTGCAAACATAGAAATGTGACCAAACCCGCATCCTTATACGGTCGCGCTGCAAGATAGCATGACTCACCCAACCCCCTTTGGTGATTAAAAGCTTACTTGAAGTGGCATTGGAACTAGTTAACATGGAGGTGAAAAGAAACAACATTAAACGAATACAATAGTGGACGTCAATCAACAGTAGTGATATTACAAAGTCCAGCAAGCCCTTTTAACGAAAACCACTGAAATCGCGTATGACCGCAGTCATCATGCAAGCAAATACGCAAGGATCACACATAATAAGCATAACGAACAAACACAATGCCAATTGCCTAGCAATCGAACGCGTGACCGAATTATGCGGCTCGTGACTCCTGCTAAACAGACAGTGCCTATCGTTTCTCAAAAGCTCCATGCACTGCTTCTAGCAGGCACAAATGTTAACACTTTCAGTCTTGAGGTGAGCGATACAAGGAGCACAAATCGACGGAGAATTGGACTGAGATAACCCATATTGTTCTATCATTGTAAGCCAAACTGTGCGATGGACTACAAAATCGAACTACACATTCCGCCGTTCATGGTTCTGGCGGAGATCAAAAACGGTAGACGGCCATAGAATTCGCACTGCTTATGGAAACATGATACGCCTAAATTCAGCGGACGTTGTAAAAGTTAAAAAGCCCGTTGGTTTGGTGTGTGGTGTAACCATCTGCTGCAGTATCAAAGAACACGTCATTAAAACGCCTGGGTGCCACGAAGGCAATGAGCCAGTCCCGCGGATTGAACAAATGTGGAGAGTTATGTACCGAGTTAGCTACACTTCTGCACGCTCTCTCTTCCAAATCCTTGTTTCGCAGAGTTACCAGTGGAAGATTGTGCCAGACACAGAAGCTTGCGCTAAGTTTGTGCTTAAATCGTTTCTTAACAAAGTGTCCCATTACACTGTTCTCGCCTTCAACCTTTGCATGTTAGTTCAGATGAGGCCAGCAACACAGGGGTAAGAAAATAACCAGTGTGTGACGCAAAGTCTAAGTAATTGACCATTGATCCAATATCAGATCCGCAGAACAGAGAGCTAACCGCGTTGCCATCACTGAATCACCTGAACCAATTGTGAATGCCGACATCCCGTTCCATGTATTCGAAAAGTTACGATATGAGTTAGTGGTGCGGATAAGAAAGGAGAAGCTTGAATCCGATGAACTTGGATGGTTGACTGCTGAACAAACCAATCTCATTTAGAACCTATGGCACACTGAGGTGGTATCTTTAGTTTGCCGATTGTCGGCCATCATTCCCAACACAAATTGCGTGATACGAAAATCATCAGGGGACAATGACCAATGAAATCCTTTCCAAATGGCTTATCAGCATCACATTGCTGGAGCGCGCTTGTCGTTGGAAGCGTGAGATCAGTAAAGTCCAGGTTGAATTTCACCCAGGTCGGGAGTGTGAGAATCAAATATGTAGACTTAGACACTGGAACAATGGTGGGTTATGGGTAAAGAACAATGCTTAATAAGTACCGTGAGATAGAAAGAATTTAGAAAACCAATCATGATGATAAAATGGAGAGCGTTTCTTATTGAGACGTGCGTAAAAGAGCCGCAATGTTCACATGACATGTATAGATTCAGCTGTTTAGAAGTTTGGAAACACCATTTGGTTACGTAATGAAACATGCAGCCAACACGTTATAAAATGAAATGTGAATGGGGCAATACTTCGCCAGGTCGTTTTTTTAAACATGGTTACATTGGGGGCAGAAAGATCATAAGTTACGAGAGCGCTCCAGGACTGACACACACGAACCGAAAATAAATTTCGACCATATCCCCTCCGGCTAGAAGGGGTTGTCAGCTCTAAATGAGGATCTCTTAGGTTGGTGCTGTGATTCTATTCCAAAAGCGGGTGGAAAATGTGGTTTTGGTTTTTCAGGATCTGTGAACCACAATGAGGTCCTCGCGCAAGCGCCGATATCGACGGCTGTACAAGCCTAGAGACTTCAATCTAAGCTCGTAAGAAAGATGAAAGAGACCCCTACCGTTCTTGGATTCCCTACGTTAAGGAGTGTCGAGAGTAACAAGATCTTGTTTCTGCCACGATTGCAACGCATGGATGGCGTATTCCACGCGTCAAACACGAGTCGGAAGACAGAGCAGTTAAACAGAACGAACACTGCGAAGAAGGTCAAAGTGTTGATTTCCGGTTCTCGACGCCTTCTCTGCTTGGTTTAAAAATCAGAGATCTTCCTGTACCAGTATACCCAGGTCACGCGCCTGAGAGGCCTGCTGTGTGGGTCTCCAAGAGTGTAAATTCTCATCGGCTGATGACGCAAGTTGATCCACTAGTACATAGGTTCCTCGCTGACCACACGTGTACACAATGCAGGTTACGCTGGAGAAAATCGTGATCTTCACTGCTATCAATCGCTCGCCATATTCTTAACGTCACCGACGAAAAGCAGGAAATTTGAGGCGATACCCCTGGTCAAGTCGTTGAGAAAACGCCAGTAATAAGCGCAATCCAAGCATCACGTTCCGTGTAACATCATAGTTCACTTCAATCGGATTGGACAGTAAGCAACTAACACACCTGAAGCGTCCGTTGGTGAACAGAGCTGTAGATCCACCCAAGGACAGCCTGTGAAGTAGGATGCGATGATCCAGGCGATCGAACGCTTTGGAAAGGTCCAGGTAGAGGACGTTGATCCCGGTCCCACCATCGACCGATCCAGTCCAAATACCGCGTGCCATCAGCAGGTTGGTGGTGCATGACCGGTGCTGACGGAATCCAGACTGCTACGGTTCCAAGACGCTGCATTTTTCAAAGTAGGGGCATTTTTGGCAGAATAAAATTGAGGAACTTGTCATGTGCCTTGATTCCCAACCTACGCAGAAGCCGTTTGCACTTCCATGCGTCAGCAGCCTCGGCAAATTCAGGCGAGAAGAGATCCTCGTATCTTCTAAACAAAGATTCGAGGTTAAAGTTAGCATCCATGTGATATTGAGGTTCACTAATGCTGTCAGAGACGGCATCCACGGATGTATGCTGCCTCTCGGTGTTTGCCTTTGCGTGCACAACGATGCACTGAAAGATGCTTTCGATCAACTTTGCTTGACATTTTTCAAATCGTTTCTGCTGATGTTGTGGTACGGTGGTCAGCTCTTCTATTGGAAATAGCATTTGCGTGTTCGATGATAAAAAGGATACTCCGTCGCCAGTTGTTAAGGTTTACCAGCCGCGCGCGATTCCGGTTATTGCAATCAAGTTTTTCGCTTCCAATTCAACCGGAATATTAGAAGACAGAGACCATGATGAAAATAATGCCAGTTCACCAGTACAACGACACAACATAATCAATTCAGCTTAAGACCCCATCAGATTATATGGGTCCAAAAGCGAGTTACGCTAACACGCGAATTAATAAGCAATCACTGCTAGTTTGAAATCTGATCAATCGATCTTACTTAGAGTGCGAATCTGGCTTTGCCGGAAAGACACCGATCCGCCCTCGAAGGGACGATAGATCCGGATGAGTGAAATCTTGGTATTTTGACAGCAGGATCAATAGCTTATCTGTGCAACAGATTTCGGTAATGGAAATGAGATCCAAAGCATTCGCGACTAGAGGTAGTCGAAGTTCGGTAAGTTTACTGAGGAGTCCTAAACCTTAATGCACATACATGAAAAGTTCTCGGATTTAAGCATGGTGACAGCTATAGTGTAATTTAGATATGAAGTTTTGCCGACCAGCGACTAACTGTTCTTTTCGGTGAGTAACTGGCGACTGGCTCGGCGTCAGATTCATCGACTTCGCAAGTAATCCCAAATTTAACCTGCTACGTACAGCATAAGGGGACTGGTCACTCTGCTCATTACCAAGTTGCATGAGCTCGTTAGACACCCTGCTGTTCTGGTATAACTCCCATCGCGGTTGATTATTTGGGAGATATATCGCTCGCTGCGTTCAGCCGAAGTTCGGATGACAGCATGCAATGAAACATGAGCCAGCTTTTCAGTAGCCGTATAGCCATTTGTTTTGTATGAAAAACTACTTGCATTACTCTCGACGCACACCCTTTATAGTTGGGTGATGTGGGTAGCC